GCACACACACTTGTAAATTTGATGAAAGTCCAGTTTATCTAGTTTGTCTCTTTTTGCTTGTGTGTTTGGTGTCATTTCTGAGAAACATTGCCTAGTCAGAGGTAACCATGATTTACGCCTGTGTTTTCTTCTAAGAGTTTTGTGCTTTTATATTAAAGTCTTTGAGACAGCTTTAATTATTTTGCTATATGATGTGAATTAAAAGATCCAAATTCATATTTTTGTGTATGGAGGTCCAATTCCAAGGAGCACTTGTTGAAAAGACTGTTCTTTTCCTTATGAATTGTTTTAGAACCCTTATCAAAAGTGAATCAACAAAAAGTGTATAGGTAGGTGTCAGGCTCCATCCCTGAAGTTCAGACTCCACCCAAGTGGGGAAACTAGATCTGAATTTATTCCCTGCAGTCCTGAGCAAGGGGACATCTGGGAAGGAGACAGGGCTGAGTGACCATTTTGTGGGCCTTTATAAAGGATAGGTCTCTCCTACCCTGGTCCCCCATTTCAGCCACAGCAGGCCTCTCCATGCCCTGATGTTCCTTTAATTCAATTCCACTTGGAACCATCAGTTAGTCACTAGACCTTCTCCCTTCCTCACTACCCTTAGTTAAAATACTTTTCCCGCCATTTGTTGTGCCAACGGCCCTTCTGTTTTCATTGTGGCAGGAAGTGGATGAACCCAGAATTAGTGAGAGTTTCTGACCTGGAGGACAGTTTTTAGACCTTTTATCCCAGTAGTACCAAACAATGTCTTGATTATTATTGTCACTTTGCATAGTAAGTTTTGAAATCAAAGTGCAAGTTCTTTCGTTTTGTTCCTTTTCAAGATTGTGTTTACTCTTCAGGATTCCTTGAATTTCTGTATTGTCTTTGTCAGTCTCTGCAAAAAAGCCAACTGGAGTTTTAATGGGAATTGCTTTGAATCTGTAGATCCCTTAGGGGAGCATTGCTATCTTAATAATATTAATTCTCCCAGTCAGTGCATTTGTATTTCTCAAGTATATAGCAATACAGTCATTTTTTTTCATAACGTTTGTTTATAACATTACATAACATTAGGTATATGACTTCAGATGCACAGTTGTTTTTATATCCTTCAACCTTGTGAACTCATTATTTTTTTGGCTACATAAATTAACCCATGTATTATAGGTGAAAGCATTCTTAAACTTCCATCTTTCTTTACCCCATACCTGGATTTCTCTGGAGTTGTCCAACTGAACTCTGACAACTCATCAATTATACTTCAAATTTTCCTTCCCTAGTATTGGTTCCTATGAGAGTTTACGCCCTAGCAAATTGTTTGTTTCTCCAGTGGGGTGGAGGTGATGCACCCGAAGACTTCATTTCTCTGATGGACCTTCGGATTGTTGAGTTTTCATCTAGTTCAGGTTTTTACTTGTTAGGATGGATTGGCACTTTCTGAACTCCTTAAATGCTAGACTGAAGACCTAAAGTACTCACATGGATTTTCTCTTGCACTTTCTTCCTTGAATTTTCTTAAACTTTCATATTTTTCATTGAGTTAATTTTTGTATCAGATGTGAGGTTTGGATTAAGTTTTTCTTTTTCCTTTTTGCAAACGTATATACAATTTTCCCAAAATTGTTGATGGGATAGTTTATCCTTTCTTCATGGAATTTCTTCTGCATTTCATAAAAAACACATGACCACGGCCCTCCCTGGTGGCGCAGCGGGTTAAAGCACAGCACTGAGAATCTGAAGCCACTTCCGCATGAGTTCGATTCCCGCCTGCCCCGGAGGAGACCACATGGCGAGCCAGACCTGTCCTGGCCCGCCCGCTGCTTCCCTCAGCAGTGTACTTCGTCGATCTCCCTGTTCTGCTCCCCACTCTGTCTCTGGTGAAGCCTCTCACCGCCCCTGAGCCTCTGGCCTGTGCCCCAGTTCTGTATGCACAAATAAATAAATAAATCTTTAAAAAAAAATTAAAAAAAAAAAAACACATGACCACATATGTGTGAGAGTCTAATTTGGGATTCCATTTTATTTTGTTCTGCCCATGTAATCTTTCTCCAATACTACACTGAATTGATTAATAGAGCTTTCTTAGTAAATTTGGAAATCAGGTTATCTGAGACCTCTTATTTTGTTTTTTGGCTTGATTCTTGTATTTTATTTCTTTTAATATATTTGGAGTTACCTTGTCAATGCCTGTAAAATGAAATAACATGGGATTTGTCTTGATTTGACTAGCCATCACAAATCAATCTTTGTGATTTTTACTATAGACTTTACACATATCTTTTGAGATTTAGACCCAAATATGTCATACGAGGATTCACCAAAGACAGAGTGGGGAGCAGAACAGGCAGATCTACTGAAATACACTGCTAAGGGGAGTAGCAGTGAAGACAGGAGAGGTCTACTATGCCATAATATGGCTGCTCCCTGGCCAGGGATCTCACTTAGGCCGTATCATGCTGAGACGTTGACCCTAGTCTGCTAAGGAGGTCCCCATAAAACTTCATTTTTAAATTGTAATTTCTAATTTATAAAAATATGATTGATTTTGTATGTTTATTTGCATCTGTAACATTGCTACACTCACTAGCATTAATTCTAATAGCTTTTCAAGATTGGGAATTTTCTAAGCAATTCTCCTTGCTTTGTTAGGATCTTGGAGGGTAAGAGTGGATTGGTGTAAACATTGAATCTTACATCAGTATGTTTACCTGTATGATTTTTGCACATGCCTCCTTTTCAAAACTATTTCTAGTTTTTTGTTTGTTTTGTTTTGTTTTGCTTCTCTTTTTTGGCTCATGAAGATCTCAATAGATAATTATTTTATTTTATTTTTTGTTTTTTTTTTTTTACATCGTTCTTCATTAGTGCATTTTTCCATCTCAGTTGTAATCCTCATGGACTTTCCACCACCAGTTCACGTGTGTGCCATCACCACAGTCCAGTGCACTCTTCCCACCCCAGTTACGATCCCATGCTCCCTTTCACCCCCATAGAATGTCTCTGATTTATAGTTGTTCATTGTTTTCATTTTTACTCTATTACATTTATTTGTTTCTCTTTTTCTCCCACCCCAATCCTTTATGCCCCTGATCTAAATGAAACCATCCGGTATTTTTCCTTTTCTTTCTAGCTTATTTCACTAAGCATGATCTTTTCCAGCTCCATCCATGTTGCGGCAAAAAGCATAAGTTCATCTTTTTTTGATTGCTGAGTAATATTCCATTATGTATATGTACCATACCTTTTTAAACCAGTCTTCTATTTTTGGGCATTTGGTTGATTCCATGTCTTCCCTATTGTAAATAGAGCAGCAGTAAACATGGGAGAGCAGGTGTCCTTTTGAATCAGTGTTTTTGTGTCCTTTGGGTATATATCTAGGAGTGGGATTGCTAGGGTATATGGAAGCTCTATTTTCAGCTTTTTGAGAAACCTCCAAACAGCTTTCCATAGTGGTTGTTTCAGCTTGCATTCCCACCAATATTTCTAGTTTTAATAGTTTTTCTTTTAATTGTAAATGGTTGTTGAATTTATTCAGGTGTTTTTTCCTTATCGAGGTGGTTGGTTGCCTTTTCTTCCTTACCTTATTGCTTCAGTGAATTATGTTGATTAATATTTAGATGTAAAATTAGCTTTGCATTCCCAAGATAAACCCCACTTAGTGATTATTCGTTATCACTCTAATTATTGTTTGACTTGCTTGTTTTTTGAGAATTTTTGCATCTGTATTTCTCATCTAGTCTGTATTTTTCTTTTAATACTTTTTTTTGGGTATCATGATTAAACTGGCTTCATTAGATGAATTGGGAGGTGTTCCTTGATTTTTCCATTTTGGGTAAAGTTTTGTATATTACTGGTGCTGTTAGGGAGAAATAATGTCCTGAACTAACTCTGCAGATATGTTTTGTGGACTCCACCCCCTAAGTCACTGAAACTACAAACTCCCAGCAGTACCAAAGGGAGGACTGTGAGGACCCATTGGTAGAGCTAAGCAACCATTTGGGGACTTTTATATGGATATATAGAGGAGTCATGTTGAGCTGAGGCTCTCTCCCCCTTGGCTTCGTGGCTGGTGGCTGGTGGCTTGGCTCTTGATGAGCTTTCAGTGTGCTGTTGGGTTTCCAAGTCAGTGGACCTGGTAGGATGCTCTAGTTAACTTGTATCTCTCTCTCTTTTTCCCTGGGTTGTTCCTTTTCTTTCCCCTTTGTAGATACAGCCATTATTGACCTTTTTGTGTGTGCCTGCAGTATAATTGAATCTTAAGCGCACAGGTAAGGACCCACAGACAGGCAACCCAGTTCATATTGTGTTGCCCTGTAACAACAATACCATCTCTTCCATTAAGTTTGGTAGCATTCACCATATTCATCTCGGCCCATAGAATTCTATATTAAAGGTCGATTTTCAAAATGGATACAGGATTGTATGCGTTATCTACCCCTTTTAGAAAAACCATGTCAATTTGCAATTTCAAAGAAGGTGACCATTCCAGCTAAATTATCAAATTTAGGGCATAGATTTATACATTTTATTTACATATTATTAGCTTAAAATCTATAAAGTATATGGTGTAAAAGGTGTGAGGTGTAAAATCTGTCAGGACCATCTCACTTCTGATATTTGTAACTTGTGATCTTTTTTTTCTTATCCTGGTCAGTCTAGCCTGAGATTTGTCAGTAGTTATTATGAGTAAATTATATGCTATTTTAATGTCTAAGAATTAATAAGATACTTGCCTTTGTTGGCCCTTTTATAGATGAGTAAAGTGAGACCTGGAGGTACTAGGAAACTTGCCTACAATATAATGGCCAGATCCAGGATTCAAATCCAAGTCTAGGTGACTCTAAAATCTTTGTCTTTGACCACTCTGATTTATTAATTGATATGTAAAGGGTGACTCAAATTACATAAGACATACACAGGAGTCTCCATTACAATTAGAAATAAATTTTTCATTTTCACTGTTGTACTGTAATAATCTACTGACATGACTTTTGACACAACATGCTTTTTTTCCTTAGGTCTGACAGTAACTGCTGTAAAGGACTCAGGGGAATGGAATTTGGAGGCTGGAGCATTAGTACTTGCAGATGCAGGCCTATGCTGTATCGATGAGTTTAACAGCCTCAAAGAACATGACAGAACCAGTATCCATGAAGCAATGGAGCAACAAACCATCAGTGTTGCTAAGGCTGGGTGAGGGTTTCTTTTCTTTAAAATTAGCTAATATTATGATAATGGGAATACGTGAACCTTATTGAACTATAAGGTCTGTTTGGTCCTCTCTGAGATGATAAATTATCACTCTTCAAGACATTAGTTTTCCCAGGGAAATAAAAATGAGTTGTTGAGAAAGAGAAAGGGAAAAACTGGGACAAATGCTATCAGTCTATTTTAGAAAGAGAGGAAATTAGCAGCATGACATGATAGGCTACAGAATAAATCTTTGGAAGTGTTTTATTAACCACTTCTGCTGCCTTACTTTCTGCTAAGTGTAAGTTAGTATGACCCCTTTGTGTTATTGTAGTTATGTCTTAAGTTATAAAAGAAAGGTTCTTACAGTAAAGTAGTTCACTTGTGGCATAGGTTGAACCATCATATCGTAACTATTAATGAACTACAATATGCACTAGAACAGTGTTTTTCACAATATTTATGGTAAAGGACTAGCCAAGTCACTCTTTTCAATCCATCACAGGATATTATTTTTATAAAATGCAATAAGTTATACATATATATATGTATAACTTATTAAAGATTTATTTATTTGTGCATACAGAACTGGGGTATAGGCCAGAGGCTCAGGGGTGGCGAGAGGCTTCACCAGAAACAGAGTGGGGAGCAGAACAGGCAGATCCACGAAGTACACTGCTGAGGGGAGCAGCGGGCGGGTCAGGAGAGGTCTGCCGCGCCATGTGGTCACCTCCGGGGCAGGCGGGAATCGAACTCATGCGGAAGTGGCTTTAGCTTCTTAGTGCAGTGCTTTAATCCGCCGCGCCACCAGGGAGGGCCCAATAAGTTATATTTTTAATGAAATGTGGGTAATCATACAAAACAGAAATGTAAGTTCTTATTCCATTAAGGATTAAGAAACTGTAAGGCGGGCCCTCCCTGGTAGCACAACGGGTTAAAGCAAGTTCGCTGTGGCGTCTTCTGTGCAAGTTAGATCCCTGCCCTGGAGGTGACCCACATGGCACAAAAGACCTGACTCTCCCGCTGCTCCTCTCAGCAGTGTACTTCGTTGATCTGCCTGTTCTGTTCACAATTCTGTCTCTGGTGAATCCTCTCACTGCCCCTGTACCTCTGGCCAGCACCCCAGTTCAGTATGCATAAATAAATTTTTAAAAAAGAAAGAAACTGTAAGGCATGTTTTCCCTATCCTAAAGAGGAAAATACAGATAACTGGTGTAAGTTTCTTGGAATTTAGTAGAGAGCTGAATTTAGAAGAAAAACAAGGGAAGTCAATTCCTAAGTATAACCAGCCCCTCCAAGAAGAGCTGAGGCACAAACTGTTCACCTTTGATAGCATGAGAGGAAGAGGTAGTTACCATAGAAACAAATAAGAAATAACTAAAAATTTTTAAATTCCCTACAGTCTAAGTATGGAGTAGCATAGTAATTTAGAATAACTGAGAGTGTTAAACACATGGAAATTAATTTTCACTTGCAAGTCCTTCATGAAGGTTCTTCACCAGATGCTCACAGGAAAGACCAGGCACAACAGAAACAGACCCTTCCCAGTCGAGGCTTGCGAGGTGATTTCCACTGGGAAATAAATACAAACCCTGCCTGCTTCATCAGATACATCTCATTCAAAGCAAAATCCTTAAAGCACCCGGGCAGAGCAACAAACCCTCTTATCCTCAGGGCAGGGCAAAAACAAACACACACAACCTTTTTTCCTCAAGAGGAGTTTAGAGAACATTCCTTCCTCCAAGAAGCAAAAACAGAATGTTATTTTAAAGATGTGTGTTGATTTAGGCATATAAGAACTGGGGGGTAGGCCAGAGGTAAGGGAGTATAAGAGGACTTACCAGAGACAGAGTGGGGAGCACAACAGGCAGACCTACTGAAATACACTGCTGAGGGGAGCAGAGGTCTGCTGTGCCATGTGGGTCAGCTCCCTGGCTGGGGATTGAATTCTTGGTACAGTGGCTGGCAGTAGCTTAATGGCACTGTGTCTTTATCCCCTAGGGAGGCCCCATGAGTCAATTTTAACAAAATCCCAATAGGCTTTTACAGAAATTAATAAATTGATTTAAAATTTCATCTGGAAAGTCAGAAGAACAACAATAGTCAAAACAAAAGAGTATTTTTGTCCCAAGATTTCCTATAAAGCTACAGTAATTAAGATGTTGTAGCATCAGTGTTAGGATCAACTTTAACTCAGCAGAAGAAAACAGGTCCAAAAGTAAAGTCAGTTGATTTTCAAGATTGATACCAAGATAATTAAATGGAGGAATCATTTTATTTATAAGATAAATACTTATAACAGCTTTCTTCATGATCACCCATGATTGAAAAGATATTAGTTCCTCTTAGAAGGTGTGCTAAAACCATTTGGCCCTGACTTTGGTTTTGGGGAGACTTTTGATTAGTGTCCCAGTTTCCTTGCTTGTAATTGGTCTGTTCATGGACAGGCAATGTTAAGGGAAATTTCATGATTAAACTCAGCACTTTGGGAGTTTCTCTTTGTCCATTATTTTCTTGGCCATATGTGAACCAGGGTACTCATTCTGCATTCTCCTGGGAGAAGCTTAGGAAACCAAAGGCTGCTGTTATTTTCTACAAATATTTATTTTCATTCTTTCCTATGACTTTTTCTCATGAAAACTTTCAGATACAGTTCAACTGTCATTTAAAGTATACCTTTTCATGGCTTTTGGGATATTGATAGAGTCATGAAATTACCATCACTTTCTAATTCCTGAACATTTTCATCACCCAAGAAAGAAATGCACCTGTTATGGATAACTTTAAGATTACATATATTATAGAGAAAGATCTCAGACCCTCCTCAGAAGCTCCTCTTTGCTGTTAGCAATGCTGATCCTGATTCCAGAAACTATTGCACACATACTCTCAGGAAGGCACTGTCTTGAGCCTCCCCATGCTTCAGCAGTTTTATTTCAAAGGAATTAAGGGAGCAGCAGTTCAGGCCTCTGAACACAGGAAGTAGTTTACAGATATTTACTGGTCAGAGAGAGGATCAGAATAAGCTTATCAGCTTTACCTTGCATTGAGAATAATTTTTTAATCATTTTTAAAATTTATTTATGCATATAAGAACTGGGGTACAGGCCAGAGGTGCTAGGAGGTGAGAGGATTCACCAGAGACAGAGCTGGGAGCAGAATAGGCAGATTGATGAAACACACCCTGAGGAGAGCAGCAGGCAAGATAGGAGAGGTCTGCTGTGCCATGTGGGTTACTCCCTGGCCAGGATTGCACTCAGGTTGCAGTGATTGGTGATAGCTTGAGAGTGCTAGAACTTAACCTCTTGCACCACCGACAGGCCCACTTTTTTTGTTTCATTATTTTATATGTGATTGTCTTTTTATTGTCACTATTGCAGCATGTTTCTGTTCTTAATGAAAATACAAACAGCTTCACTTCAGTGTGAATTCAATGTGCATTCATGAGACTAGGAACTATTTGTTTACATTATTTTTATGACTAACTGGATTCAGAGTTCTAAGCAGTTGCTTTTTTACAAGGCCATTTTGGCATGTAAATTATAAGAGATAGATTGTTCAGATTTTCCCATTGGTAATTTTTTAAAAGGGTGGTTAATTTTCCATGAAAGTGCCTTGTCTTTCTCTTTTTTAATAAATATCTTCCTGTGCCACATGCCACAAGTAAAGATTCTCAGACTTTTTCAGTCTTTAGGGCATGAGGTAATTGCTAGAGCCAACTAGAAATAGATCAGGGATTAACAGTTGTGGCACGTGTTTCCTGATGTCACAGGATTTTGACTGCTGAGAGGAAGACCTGCACTTTAACAAAAAAGGGCCCTCTAGTGAAGTACAGTCAAATTTACAGAGAAAAATTTGACATGATTGCCAGTGAGTATGCTATATTACTTTGAGAGCTTGCTCGTGATTGATTTTAAAATGATCTCTGAAGGTATGTCATGTCCATACCAACCTGCCATTGCTCTGATTGCAACTTCTGCACTCACCTGGTACCTCTGTGCTCCTTTCCTCCCTGTATCCCACCCGTGGTCCTTTCCCAGCCACTAAGCACACGTGGCTTCAGTTTTCCCTCAGTAGCTCCTCAGAAATGTGATGCCAGTCAACCCTTATGTTTCCTTCTCCCGTCTCCATTTCTCTGTTATTTAAAAACAACAACACACAAGGTTTTTGCTTCAACCGTTCACCACTCTCCAAAGTCACCTTTCTTCCCTCCACAAATATGTATCTCTTCATTTAAAGAAATCCAGAGGTTATAAGGGTTTAGCTCAAAAGCTACTTTCTAATTTTTTGGGTTTTTTGTTTTTGTTTTTGTTTTTTGGTCATTTCTTTCAATCCACATAGATAAATTTATATCATCTTGTTCTCCTCTACTTCTCCTGAGAATTTTATATTTCTAGAACTTACTGTATTCTGCCTTATCCCCCCACTAGAGTTAGTTAAATTTTGTATACCTCCTAGCTACAAGCAGAAGGGAGTCCTCACAGTGGGGACATAAGAAGTGTTTCTTGAACTTGAAGAAAAGTACTTTTTTTCCCAGGATAGACTAGTGTAAATGCACTTTGTTTGAACTTGGTGTCTGTGATACTGACTTGTATCATTCTATATTCACTTTCACACAAGCAGCCTTTGTTTATTCACAAATTTAATCTTTTCATTTGACTCCCAAAGGTCAGTGACTTTTACCTTCTATTTTGGCAGCCTTGTGTGCAAGCTAAACACAAGGACCACCATCCTCGCAGCAACTAATCCCAAAGGCCAGTATGACCCCCATGAGTCTGTGTCGGTGAACATCGCCCTTGGCAGCCCACTCTTAAGCCGATTTGACCTAATTCTGGTTTTGCTTGACACCAAGAACGAAGACTGGGATCACATCATTTCCTCCTTTATCTTAGAAAATAAAGGTATGTGGACACAGACTGCACTCAAATGAAGTTCTCTTTGAGGGACATACCTTCAGTGTACAAGGTGCGCTTTCCTAACAGGCATTATAAAGAGTCTTAGAGAAAGAACAATGAGAGAAGCCACTGCTTGATAACCTCAGACTGATGAGCAGAAGGAAGCAGCCTTTCTCTGCCTGTCCTAATGAGATTGTGGTTGTACATGTCCTTTGTGTTGAAAGGGAACTACCTTATGATATACAGTTACCATGTACCTCTTCTATGCCAAGAAAACTGGACAGAATTATGGAACAAATCCCTAAATGTGGCCTCTCTTTCAATAAGATTTCCACAATCACTGCTTATTATTGTCACGGAGACCAGAATTATTCTGAATAATTTTAACACTTAAGTGCCATAGAACTATATCCCATAAAGAGACAAATCTTGTATTTCGATGGCCATAAAAATGTGACGGCTTTCTTTAATAAGTCCTAGGGATATAATATACAGTACGGTGACGACTTAATATAATTGTGTACTTGAAAGTTGCTTACAGAGTAGAGCTTAAAAGTTCTCATCACAAGAAAAATTGCAAACTGTGTAGTAATGGATGTTAACAAAACTTACCATGGTGATAGTTTCACTGTATAAATTATATCAAGTATTTAAATTGTACTCCTAAAACTAGTACAGTGTTAAATGTCATTTATATTACAGTTAAAAAGTAATACAACCAAAGTAAATAAATTACTCTGGTGAATCATAACTCTAATTTTCAGAGGCTAAGCTATTGTTTTCTTCAGTGTGAGCATGTTCTCTTAAGAGAAGCTCCAGAAAACTGTTGAAAAATACAGTGTAGGGGTAAGGGTCATTTACCTTTTACTTCAAGCATGTCTTCTGTTGTATAATTTTTAAGAAGTGCATATTATTTTTAATGGAAAATAATTACTTTAATAAAATAATTTAATGCTGGATATTTAGTGGGGTTTGTAGTCATTCCTGACCAATGAGAAGTCCATATATCTTCTCGTGGCTAGGACTAGCCATGTACTTCAGTAAAGCTACAAGTGCACACACAACTGGACCAGGTTTTTCTTGAGTGGGAAAACAAGCACTTACGCTGCATACTGATACCCGAGAATAGTCTGGTAGGTAATGTTTTGTAGGGGTCACTCTTCCAACAAGGAGTCCTGGAAAAAGTCTAATTTGCTAGTTCACCAGGCAAAAATGCCAAGAAATGGCAGGTCTCTTGCCTATTATACAGGAAAAACGAGGGAGATTTAAAAACATATATACACATACTTAATATGAGATGTTTGCCTGTTCTTAGAAACTACTAACTAAACCAACATCTGCTATATACAGGTTACCCAAACAAATCAGAGAAACTCTGGAGCATGGAAAAGATGAAAACCTACTTCTGCCTTATTAGGAATCTGCAGCCCAAGTTATCAGATGTGGGAAATCAAGTTCTTCTTCGCTACTACCAGATGCAAAGGCAGAGTGATTGCCGGAACGCCGCCCGCACCACCATCCGCCTGTTGGAAAGCTTGATCCGATTAGCAGAAGGTTTATTTGATTCAACCAACAATACTTTCACTAGGTGCCCGATACGTGCCATGCATAAGGCTTCAAAGATGAGGAAAATGGAGCAGATGGGGCCCTCCCTTGTGGCACAGTGGGCTAAAACATAGTATGATGAAGCTGTCTTTAGCCACTTCAGCACAAGTTTAAGCCCCAGATCCCCAGTCAGGGAGGTGATCCACATGGCACAGCAGACCTCTCCTGACCTGCCTGCTGCTCCCCTCAGCAATGTACTTCATCAATCTGCCTGTTCTGCTCCCCGCTTTGTCTCTGGTATAGTCTCACTCCCCATACCTCTTGACAGTACCCCAATTCTTATATGAATAAATAAATATGTCTTGAAAAAAAGAAAGAAAAAATCAGGAAAAAGAATCCCTACTCAGAGGTGCTCACAGTCACTTAAAAAGCTAAGACTCTAAGCTATGACACCTCTGCTCCTCGGAGGCTAGATCGTGAGTGGAATATGGTGTCACTAAAAGGAGTCTCTGTGAATCTCAGGACCTCCTATAGCTTAAAACATTATTCTTTTAGACTGTCTTGCTGATGTTAGTCAGTGTTAGTCTATTAGCATTTAGGGAAAGATACTGCCTTATTTGGGATTATTTCCCATGTAGCAACCCACTACTAACATAATAACATTAGTTAATATTGCCATGCCCTATCTGCCCTGTATGTGAGACTTACATGCATGCATAGATCTAATGTGCGTTAGACTCTTTTACATTTAACCCTTGTTTACATTATTCTAAAAAGTTCACACAAATGTTATTGCATAGTAAATGATTTATTCAAAGGCCCATCAAATAAATGTATTTCATTTACTCAAAGATTTGTACTTAATAACAGAGCAAAACATATGTAATTTAGGCTTACGGATTAGTTGTTTTGAAAAACTCACATCAGAGATGAGAAATGAGTTTAAAACTTGTGTATCCCTATAATAGAATGGAAAGTAAAGATTAAAAGTTTTTGACTACCAAATATGCTTCCTTTACTGGAGCCCAGAGTATTTTTATATATAAATGATACAGACTTGCCATGAGCTATGTACATTGAGGCCTGTTATTAGAGAAGCAATCTAAAAGTGAGTTGAAGTAGACTTTTGTGCTTGTTATATTAAACATTATTAGAGGAGGGAGAATCAGGTAGAATACTACATTTACATCTCAAATACTTACTTAAAAATTCCTATCTTCTTAATTTCAAATGCATCTTATTTCCTTAGCTCATGCTCGCCTGATGTTTCGTGACACGGTGACTCTGGAAGATGCTATCACAGTAGTGTCAGTAATGGAATCTTCAATGCAGGTAAGGGGATAGTTTGTACCTAATATTTGATTCCTAGCTCCAAGCATTAAAGGAAAGCAATTTATAGTATAACAGGAGTTATAAAAATTGTTATGGTCTAGGTCTACTAATTCATGGGGAAATAGTCAAAACCATTTAAAAGAAAGTGGGAAACTAGAAATCTGACTGTGGTAAAACCAATGTTCCATCAAAAAAAATTAAATAAAATGAATGAGTGAGGAAAAATTGTCATGGAAACAGTCTATCAGTAGCATTGTTTTTGCTGCAGTGTCAGTATAAAGTAGTGCAGATAGTTGTGCATCTCAGTCATTTTTCTCCCCAACATACCTGAAGTGTGCTCATGGTCCCTCACAACATAGCTGCTTAGAGTAGTGCTTCGCCAAGAACTGCGGGAGAGAACTACTTGAACTTAAAAAAGGCTCCCAGGTGATTGTGATCCCCAAGATGGGCGTGTGGAGGGCATGTCTTTTACCACCTGGGCCCAGTCGTCCCGTAGTGTTGCTTCCTCTATAAACTGCCCTGGTGACTCTTCCTGATACTTTCTATTTTCTACCCCCACAGGGAGGCGCGCTGCTAGGTGGCGTGAATGCACTTCACACTTCCTTTCCAGAAAATCCTCTGGAGCAATACCAAAGACAGTGTGAACTTATTCTGGAAAAGCTGGAGCTGACCAACCTCTTGAATGAAGAGCTAGCAAGACTTGAAAGGCAAGAAAAGAAAGCCATGATAGAAATGGAAAAATCTTGGTTGGCATTTTGTAAGATGAAGGAATTATAAATTAAGTGTGAAATCTATTTTTAATATCTATTAGGGGTTATTTCTGTTACCTACTGCTGTATAATCAGCTATCCCCAAACTCAGTGGCTTAAAAAAAAAATCCCAATCTTTTTTTTTTTTTTAGATTTATTTACTTATGCTTACAGAGGTGGGGTGAGAGAGGATTTACCAAAGACAGAATGGGAAGCAGAACAGGCAGATATACTGAAATGCACTGCTGAGGGGAGTAGTGTGTGGGTCAGGAGAGGTTTGCCATGCCATGTGGGTCAGTTCCCTGTCTGGGAATTGAACTTGTGCTGCACTTGTGACAATAGCTTCATAGTTCAGTGCTTTAACTGGTTGCGACACTAGGAAAGGCCCCCAACCATTTTAGTACTGATTTTTCTGAGAGCCAGAAGTTAAGGAGGGTTCAGTGGAGGTGATTCTTCACAGTATCAGCAAATCACCTATACATTTGCAACTGAAATTGGCATATCCAAGATGCCTTCTGTCCCATGTGTACACCTTCTCTTGGGAAGCATAAATGGTTGGGGGCTGGCAGGGTTCTCTCTACCATATGCTGGTCAGAATTCTGACAAACTAGACTAGGGCTCTAATAGAACAACATTGGAAACTTCCAGGCTTCTTATGGGCTGGGCCTGGAATTGGCACAAATCACTTCTGTTACAGTATATAGGTCACAGCTAGTCACAAGGTCAGCCCACATGTGAGAGAAAGGGAAATAGGTACTGCTTCTTTATGAGACAAATGGCATAGACATACAGGGTGGAGGGATTGAGAGTGACCATCTTTGGAGACCATCTTCCACAATTGCATTTCCTTCTGGCTTGGGTAAGCTTCACCAAGAACATTTCTCTGGTCCTTTACTATATTTTAATAAGTTATATAAATGTACACTGTAATTTTTACTGTAACATAGTACAGTAAATTTATGCCACTGAGTTCTGATTGCATGAGATGCACTGCAGTAGGCTACTACAGTTCACACCCAAGATACATAGTTGTTATGGATTCAAGAATTCTTTAGTACTACGATCACTTCTTCCTTTTCTCTCTCTTTTACTCAATATAAGGAACAGAGCGATGCTATTCAGAGAGGTGATTGGGATTTATGCTAAGAAAAAAGAAGTTGGTTCAGGGATAGTGATCTATCGCAGGCCAGACCCAGATATAAAATATTGTCATAATTGGTTTTAGCTTTTTCTTCACTAGAAGCACATGCACAAGAGTGTTTACATAAAGAATTTTAGTGTCCATTACTATTTTAATTTCACTCCATTTCAAAGTTTTCTTCCAAGTGTAATAAATATTTTCTCACTAGTCTCTCTATTAGCCTGGTAAAAGAAAGCCACAGTAAAAGACAGAGGCCCAGACCTGTTTCAGATTACCTGAATTGCTAGTTACTGAGGAAGCTATTGAACTAGAGAGAGTGGTGCTGACTTTGACCTGGGCGGCCCTTCTGTCTCATTAGCAGCAGCTCTGACCCTCCCTCCAATATGATTATTTTCTTCCCTCTGTTCCGAGGTTCGTAACTTTCAAAAATGTACATGTTTAATGGACTAAAGTCCCAGTGAGAATGATGTATTTTATCTTGAAAAAAAATTATTTTTGTCCTACAGGGTAATAACTCAGGAATGGAAGAGCAGTGTTTCAAAACCTTTCTAATGACTTGTTTTGGTTAATGTCATTGGAAATGTGACATTAAAATGTAAAAAGAGAAGGAAAGGGTCATATGCATTGGTCAGAGCATGGATTCTTAAGGAACTCTGCCTCAATTTTGATATTTGCATGCTCACTAAATGTAAGAGTTTCTTGAAATTTATACTTTGAGTCTGTACCTATGAAACAGGAGTCAAAAATGGCAAGTTTATCCATTGGGGTGTCTTCTTGATTAGTGTGTATGGCTTAATAACTGACCTGAACCTAGTTAGTGTTGATCTCAACCTGGAGTCCAGTGAAGGAATCATGTATGGAGGTACAATGACTGCAAGAAGAATTTGAGGACCACACTGGGATTGTTGACTATTGGATAAAACCTTGGAATTTTCTTTCCACATTTCTCTCATATCCAGACTTTTTTCCTGGCTGCCTTCTCTTTCTGTTCTATAAAAGTTGAGCTCAACCTTCCTAGGGAAGTATGAGGATTGGCTTAGTCCTGCTGCTACTCAGGTGCCAGACCACAGTAAACTTACACTCTTTATAAAGTAACTCCCCTTTCTTTTGGTCTCCTGGCTTTTTAATGATCCAGAGCATAGTGTTAAGATCAAAGCAGTTTCTTTGTTCCTTTTATAGTTTGATCCAACCAGCCCTTTCCAGACCTGCTCTGGGTTGAACCAGGCTTTTGAGGAAACTATTCAAAATTTTGACATATTGAACCATAAATTGACATATGCTGGATACAGGGAAGGGAGCAATGTAAAGCTCAGCATTCACATTATGTGACAGGAAAATAACAGTTGCACTTAACAAGGTCAAATTCCCTCCTCAGTGGAAAGAAGAAAAACAGAATAGTCAATGATCTGAAAGATAGGATTCTGCTGTAAGTTGTTCTTCCTGGTGTTTCTTTGCTAATGTAAGACCTTGTTCCAGTGCTGACCCTCACAGCAACAAAGCCAGGGACTCCAGATGGATGTGAGTTACCTTCAAGACATAATCTACAGTAGCTAAGCTTACTAACTGAGAAAGCCCCAGTAGCATGTGAGTTTTTACCCGATAGGAGAGTGTACTCTGTCCCTTAAGGAGATCGCATAGTAATAATAAAGCCATACTAACAAAAATAAAACTATACTAATATAACTATCAGTATTTTTAATCACACTTTCTTCCAGGAAATACTTCACTAACAATAGTTTGCCTCAAATGATGGCCATTTTACCCACCTACAAAGAGAGGCAAAGATGCTGTCTTTTAAGAAGGTGGAATAAAGCTGCAGAAATTTTAGGTAGTGGAGAATTTAATTCACAAAGACTGAAAAAGATTGAAATAATAGACTTACATTGTCCAACTGCCTTAAAGAATAGGGACGTTGTCATAGAGCTTTAACAGTTATGAGTAACTGACTTTAGTTTCTAGGTAGCAGTAACTCTGAAAGCTGTTTATTTATTTGTGACTACAGTGACTGAATTTGCTGTTTTGATCTTTCCAAATCTTCTTAATAGTCTTAAATTTTTTTTTTCATTTTCCCCTAATTATAAGAAATATATGTGTTCTAAAGGGTATCCTGAGTAGTAATTGCAATAAATTAGTAAGACCAAGAAATGATAATCTTATTGCTCAGAGAGATCTACATTAAAATTTCAATTTACTTAAATATGTTCAAATTTAAAACTCATTTAATACATTTGTACCCCGTTCCTATTATTACACATGTTTTAGAATAATTTACTTATCTGCTTTCTGATATACTTCCTTTTCAGGTTTGGTAAAGGGTCTAAATCTGAAAGGAAGCAATATGGAAGTGGGGTCATATTGCCCCTTATATTGAAAGGCATTTATAGGTTGTTATTAAGACCTTTACTAATTATTTCAGTTTCTTATATGCTCAAGACTTAAAATGAACATCACTGATCAGATCCTTCATTCTGGGAAGGCCAATATGTTTCAACTCAATAAAAAGTTGCTATTCAGAACACATGTTGAAATGTTGCTGAACTTTGCAGGAAAGTGTCACAGTTGCCTGGAGGTTGGGTGAGGGGCTTCCAGGGCACCAGGGGATGGTGGCCATGACTCTGAATGCAGAGAGGAAGGGCAGAGGGAGCTCCCAGTACAGCCACTAAGAATCTGCCTTTTTAACCCTTGAGGAAGGTGACTTTTTACATGTTCCAAGAGTTACTACTTTAGTTCGTCAAAAAGCTGTGAGGATCATCATCTCTGGTCTTTCACTTTGGTAAGAAGGCAAATTGGCAGCTAAACTACCAGAACTACTTTATTGATTAGCACTTAACTACTGTGCAAAGAGCTACAAATCTGTCTTGTAGTTGAACATTTAACATGGAAGATAAGACTGCGTATTTTACCCTGACTTATAACAATGTTAAATGAATTAAATGAACTTCCAATGAGATCTAAAAATGTAGACCAACCTGCTATTTTTGTTTATTTTACTACAGTTTTAGGTTAAATTACAAAGATTGTCAGAGCACTTAAATTCTATGCTGATGAAAAAAGGATAATTTCTTCTTTCTGCTGTGTAAAAGACCATATTTGGTATTAACTTGGATTTATGTTGAACTAAAACCTCTAGGTGACATCTCAAGAGACTAAGGAGATATAAGGGCTAAAGCAAATTCTGCTCCCTTCAATGCATGTTCTCTTAATCTCTGTTACAGGTTACAGAATCAGAGTGTGTACCCATCCCAACCATGGGCCAGGGAGGAAGAATCTACTCCAGGATTCTCGAGAAGTGATCCAGAGGGAGAATATAATTTCAAAACTTCAACGCAAAAAGAAATGAATTGCAACATACATACCTCTCCCACCGGAGGCAGTCCTAAGGGGAGCCCCCTAGTCAATCCCCCATCCCATCTGGGGCCTAATATACCAAGTGGGAAACATTCAGCTGAGCACAAAAATAGAGATGACAGTTTGGACTGGTTTGACTCCATGGCAACTCATCAGATGAAACCTAACAACACTGTTCCTGTGTCTCCCAGTCCCAAAACAACTGGGGGAAAAATGGCTTTGAAAATCTCCAGCAACAAATCTCAGGGTAAGGAAGAGAGTAAGCCAGGCCAAAAGAAACATTTGGAAATTGGACAGATTCCAGCACCTGGAGAGATAGAGACTCCTTTGAGGTCAGATAATATTGAGGGTAAGAAGGCCAAAACGGCAGCAATTGTTACGGAAGCATCTGCTGATGAACCAGACTCACTGCTGACTCATCATGTCCCCAGAAAACTGCACAAATTGCGCAAGGGGCGGGCCCAGGAGCTGTGCAGAAAATCCACCAGGGCGCCTGTGCACACCCGCCCCTCTCCTCAGTCTATTCCTTTACAAAACCCAGACAACACATTGGGGTCTCCCAAAAGGAAGAGACATAAACCCTTCACTCAGGTGGAAGAGCATGAGTGTGTTGATAGTCCAGTTCTTCCTGTGGCCAAACTGGCCAAGTTTACTTTCAAAAAGAAGTCCAAACTGATCCACTCCCCTGAAGACTCTAGTAATGTGACTCCTGGTGCAACTGGAATAGTAGTTCAGAGTCCTAAGATTTCCCGACATAGAACAGGAAAAGAAGCAGCTCTGCCTAAGAAGGATCCAGAAAAATTGACCCCCATCTCAGGAAATAGAAGCTCAGATCAGTCGCAGCGGAAGACAAAGGAGGCATCACGGCAAACACCAGAGAAAGATGGACCAAGAGAGAAGAGGGAATGTGCCCCTGAAAAGAGAATTATTCTGCCTGGTTTAGAGCTTGGCAGCAAGACTGGGCATTTTCATCTTACTTGTGAAAGAGACAGGAAAGAAGAGGTTTCATGCAATAATAAAGGCAGTAAGGTTCATGCTGGCACATTAGCCAAATTGGCAAACTTCTCTTTTACTTCTTCCTCTGAATCCAAATCAGAATCCCCTCCTCCTCCTGAAAGTAAGAACTGGGGTACAGGAGGCCCTAACCCTTCTTCTACAATCACGGCTTCAGTGCATGGCAGTAAAAGGAAAACTTTTCAGCTGGAGGGGTTCACTGAGAAATCGATTCTTTCAAAAAACCTTCTCTTCACTTTAACAGAACTAGATGAAGAAGCATTAGACTTTGATTGGGATGAAGAAATGAGAAAAAAACCTTAATCATGAAAAGCTTTGTGGTCGAATTTCAACTTTCCAACTCAATGGAGCACCTTCTCAATGTCAACATGGTATCAGTAAATGGACAGAACGATTGGATGTATTAAGTGAGCACCGTTCTGAATGCTGGCTTCCTCAAGTTTTACAACCCAGGTTTAGCTTGTCACTTAAAATGTGCAATCAGTTTAGGTCGGTGTGATAACAGCACTTGAATCAACTTATTTGACATTGTGCTTAATTTTGCAAATGGGGTACATGTATTCCCAATGATGTCCCTATTTCAGTTTGATTTGTATTTAAGGTGAAGGATCTTCCCTAGACCCAATCTCTTTTTCACTCCATAGAAATGCAGATAGATAGTGCTCATAACACTAACAAGGCAAATGAACTATTTTTTTTTCCCCACCCAAGATTCACTGAGTATGTTGAATATTATTGTGATTGTCAAAATCATGTGAACTTTCAAATAGTTTTTAAAAACGGATTCCCATGACTAATGCTTTTCTTTCCTTGAGAGACATCTTCACAATTCCATGTATTCCTAAAGATCTGGCAACTGGTCACATAGTAGCTTTCTGAAGGACTGACTTTTTGGGTTTTCCTTTCTTTCTTAATCCAACATGGTGTACTTCAGATTCTTTTATTTCTTAGGGACCTACCTTCAAACAGAATTTAAGCCCTGTGGTTGTGAAGAGAGAGACTGTATAGTAACTCCAATCATAACATACCCAGGAGGTTCATACAGAAATGTGACCTTACTAAATTATGACTCATTTGTCTTAAAACCAAACAAATGAATTGTTATGATTCATTTGTCTTTAAAACCAAGTAAATGACTGTATTTAGTAGGAATAGACAATTCAAATTTTGTTTTAAGTGTTTTTAAAATTATTTTTTCCTTTGTGTTCTAGCAAGGTTTGTTAGAAGTCCTTGAATATAGCCTTTCTCTTCTAAAGCATAAATTTGAGAAATAACAATTAATTGATTATTTAACTCTCTGAGGGAATTTTTGAACAAAAATACTCAAAATTATATATACTTTAATATTCACTTCATTAAATTTAATACACACAAAAAATAGGAATCCAGATTTTTCTTAAGCACTTAAATATTATAAAATTGAATTTTCTGAAAAATGTTACTATGAGTTCAAATTTAGTATGGATGAGACTTTTGAAATCTTCATCACCTTAAACAACTAATAAAAAATATTCATAAGCAATGATTGTAAAACATTATTGCACATTCATGTAAACCAATTCTTAAAAGTCAAGACTATGATTTAAGCATGTCTAAATTACTTCTGTACTTAACTCCCTGATGCAGTGTGAATTTGTGACTTGAAATATTCCTGCCTGTCCATACTAGCATTCCCTGGGTTCCACGATTCTTACTAAATATAAAGAAAAGGGAAGAATCTAGCTCATGTAACATTGAGCCTGGTTTGGATAGTATGATTGTACAGAATAGGGTAATTCAAACCTGAGCACAGCACTAAAGCTGTCTTTTCTCATGGTAAACTAATCTTCTTTCATAGAATTCTGTCTTTGAAAGTCAGTATTTTTGTAGTAACATTGTAAAAACTTGGCATAGCTGGCAGTAGTAGTATGATCTAGCTTCATCATTTAAGATGGTTGCATGCCTTATTGGAAATACTGATTTTGGAGCTTCCATTTCTTAGTAATGAGAGATTACTGCTATTTGTGGTTAACTAGTATCTCTGGGATACTGAATAATTCATATTTTAAAATATAGAGTTGAATTGTCTCTTCCTTAGTTATTATGTATGACCATCTGTGCCACCTTCTAGCTGGTCTTAATTTGTAGTCGCTGTACATCCATTGTTTTTGTGAGCAAATCCACTCTGTTTCTTATTTTAGTATCCTCTGTGGGGATCATTTGGTCAACTTTGCAAGTTCCATGTGTTTATTCTTCTGTGCTAACCCAGACAGAAATTAACATATATGCAAATATTAGATCATGACTAGAAGAAGTAAAATTCTCAATATAAACAATGCCCTTATTGAGCCTACTGTGATGCTCAAAACCTTTGGGCTTTTATATTGGTGACTAAGAAGTGAATTTATATTGATGCTGCCAGTGTCCTTTGAACTGACATTTCTAATTATCCATGCTATGTGCAAACATTAGGATGTCCAAAATCCCTCTTGACGTTTTTCCTGCACCCAGTCACAAAGTCACCTATCTGATACCGATTCCTTTAAACATTTCCTTTGGAGGACAGTGGTATTAGAGACCAAACTTGGGGTCTCAGAGGTGTATGGGTGAGTCAGCAGTGGGCAGAAGTACTACCACTGCTGTTGGGTCCCCTGTGCTAACTCAGAATTGATGAACGTTTAGTGTCCTGAGGTCACATTTTATTCTGCTGCATCCTACTTCTCTGACACTATGTGATTTCATGACAATTAAGACTTTCTTTCATGTGGTCTTTAGTATGTGTGCCAAGAAAGCACATAGGTAGCTTGGAAAAAAATACATTTCAAAAATCATATCTCTACTTAATAAAGGAAAGTGTAAAAATTGCCTTTAATTCTGAATGTTTTTATTTCAGACCAACGGACTCCTTGAATATATTGTAATAATGTAAAACTACTTGAGATACAATGAAAGCTACCCTCTTACTTGTAAGAAGACTAAGCCAGAATTATAATCATATAAAGGAATTAAAGTATATATGATATTCAAAATTTCACATAGGGATTTTGTTGACATTTTGGGTTTTTTTTTTTTTTTTTAGAAATAATAGGCAAAACAAGCATATTTGCTGCCATCTTTGACTTAATTCAGCCAAACTTTAAAATTTTTCTAAAGGTATACTAAAAATTTAATAATAGGGATTTATTCTTCAGTGATAAGTTTTCATTCTGACAACCTTACATGCTCTTTATGAGTTTATCATACTCTATTTCTGTGCTCTCCCCAAGTGCTAAGCCTCTTGCCTAACTAGTTGGAGTAAATGGAAAACCAATTCTAGAGAAAATCTTAGATCATTCACAAGGAAGAGCCTTAGCACTTGGTAGTTCAGAACTATAACACCCTGAACATCTAGATCAGAACGTCTAATTGCCCAAAGCCATGTTATCAGGGAACCTCTTTCCAACCTGGCAAGCCCAATAGGGAAGGCAACACTATTCCTTAGTGTTCAAAACACATCTCTATCTGCTATCTATCCATCTTCTCTATCCACATTGTTAACACTTTAGAGGGAGAAGAAGGCTCCTGGCTCATATTAGCACTCCCTGCAGTTGGGGGTTTGCTGGCTGTGTCCCACCTTACACATGGCCCCACCCCAGCAAGACCTGCACACGTTCTCTCCCTGTCGGCACAAAGGAAGCGGTGGTTACTTCTCCCTGTACAGTGGTCCCATCAATCCCGCTGTCTTTCCTTCTACTTAAAGTCTTAAGAATGCATCTAAAGGTAATACTGGTGAAAATGAACAGGACAGAAATGTTAAATTAGGCTTAACTAAATTGTTAGTGTGGCTATGTAAATACTCCAGTGCAACATGTAGTCCAAGAATGAAATATGCTGGACCTGATCTCACCAAGAATTAGGCTATAAATTTTTTATCTTGTGAATACCTTTTCAGGCCTCTCATCTTTACGTGTGACTGGAATCTTAATGTTACAGCCAAGCAAGGAGGAGTTTAACAACCCCAAAGCAAGCATTTTATCAAGTGCATATATATATGTGGGGATCAATCTCATTTAACTTGGGATCTCATAATAAGCAAGGCCAGTGTCGAAAAGCAGCTTATTTCAAATCTGACTTCCAGAGCTCACTGATAAGTGAGACTAGATAGTATACAGAGCAGGCTGACTGGGTTTTAGAACCAAATGATCTCTAGCCAACTTTGTGACCTCACTGTCATCAATGATCTCATCCATAAAGGCAAGGATCAGATGATTCTGAGGTATTACTGAGTGAGTAGAAAGGAAAACCTCAGAGCCTCGCAGCGATTAAAGTAGGTTTACTCTAAGACAAAGCAGGGAGTCTTAAGAATAAACAGGAAACAAAAATCTTACCAGTCTAACATGACCCTGGTGCTCTCTCACCATCCTGGGTCCACATGGTTCCTCACTGCTCCTTCCCTTGGTGAGTGGGAATTGGCTGCCCCTCTGCAAACCCTGCACTGCTCACTAAAAGCTTCTGACACTTGAAGTTTTTGCAATGCTTTGGAACCTGGCTGCAACTGTGCCTTTCTCACTTTTCCAGAGGATACACCCTCCTTTATCTTACTCTTTCAGACTGATCACCTTGGTTTAGAGGAAATGGGGAGTGAGGAGCTAAGGGGTCTTCTGGTACTAATATAGCACCCAGAGAGTGGGGGGAGACAGTCTCCAAGAGCAAGGGTGGAAGGCAGTGATTGAACAATCCACACTTTTGCTTTAATAGTGACAGGTCTTATCATTCTGGAAACCAACACTTAACTTTCTGTCACAATCAACCATGATGCGAGAGCAGGCCTCTGAAAGCACTTTGGATCATCTCTGTCAAGGAAGCACTATACATCCTGACCTGAGGCAGTTAGTTTTTTTTTTTTTTTTTTTCAAGGATTACAAACCACTTTCAGGGTGTTAAATGTGAGGTTCATGTTATAGACCACTGAGGGAGCTGTTTTTTGTGTTCCTGGTTATCAAGCTTCCAGTTTCCTGTGCACAAATGGCTCATAGTAACTTCAGGGTTGCTCTTAGAAATACTTAGATGACAAAGTAGATGCAAGCAGAGGATGGGTATTGTTACTCTGAAATACACCTTAGGAATAATCTGTGGAGACAGATTTCCATTCTTCCAGCTTTTATAACTGCCAACAAAGAAGTGGGGAAATATCTATATGTTTGAGACCCACTTAATCCTAATTAATATAGAATTACAGATAGCTCAGGGTAATTTAAATTGAGGAGTCATTCAATATTGCCCTTTAATGATCTTATTGTTGGGGGATTAAAGTGCTTTTTAAAATAGGGCATCTAAAACTGTCCTAAGGGATCTCACCTCTCAAAGACCTTGGATTTGCTACCTTTCAGGGAAATCAGTGTAGACAAGGATTGACACTCTTGCCTGGGCCACTGTAAATCCCTGGAGTGCCTGACTCTCTTTTTTGTAGACCTTGCGTCCGAGAATGAGTGAACGTGGAAATTAAGTATCTGTAGAACACCAGCTCTCCTTGAATGGAAGGCATCAGTCAGACTATGTCCAGTTCTTCTTCCCAATAGCAATATGTTTACAGATGGCTACAACAGCAGTGAAATTTTTATAATGACTAGATAAATGCCTATTAGAATAACCCCTCCAACCACCCAAAATGTTAAGCTGTACTGGCTACAAAGAAACTTCAAACAAATTCTCAGCAACAAAAATTTTTATAAATTTATTTCTCAGTCCCTATCCCAATGAAAGTTCACTACAACATATCAGTATTATCAACCATTATAATATTTATGCTTAAAGTTTTCAAAATACATTTACTACACAAAAAACATTTGGTTTTTTACAACCAGTAACATATTTTAGGTTATACTCCATTTTATAAATGAGGGGAAAGTGCAAACATTTTAGTGAATTTCTAAAATGTTATTTTTCATATTTTTATATAAAACATTTAAATGTCTTTAATATACTTCAAGTGAAAGACTAGATTTTAGAATACCTACCTCCCAATTTCTTCCCTTATTGCTTCATTTAAAAGAATATTTGTTGAAATAAAATAAAATAAAATAGGCCCTCCCTGGTGGCGCAGCGGGTTAAAGCACAGCACTGAGAAGCTAAAGCCACTTCCACATGAGTTCGATCCCCGCCTGCCCCGGAGGAGACCACATGGCGTGGCAGACCTGTCCTGACCCGCCCGCTGCTCCCCTCAGCAGTGTACTTTGTTGATCTGCCTGTTCTGCTCCCCACTCTGTCTTTGGTGAAGCCTCTCACCACCCCTGAGCCTCTGGCCTGTACCCCAGCTCTGTATGTAAAAATAAATAAAATCTTTAAAAAAAAATAAAAAATAAATAAAATAAAATAAAATAAAATAAAGAATATTTGTT